AAAATGACTTGGCAAAAAATCTTAACTTTATAGAACAACATAAAGCAGTCCTCAAGGCAGGTGATTCAGCAAGAGGTAACAAAGTTGTATTGGGAAAAATTTTTAAAAATAGTTGGGAGGACAAATTAAAAGAGGTTATGAATTCCAAACAAGAATGGATAATACAACAACTCTGTTATTTACAAAATACCAAAGATAATAGGTATGAAGATATTTCAGTTTTTGTTGCTGATGGTGTTGTTCAGGGCTTTTCGTCCAGAATTTCTTCTAACGAAATAATGAATGTTGGACAAGGTGGATTTAGTCAACCTGTCATCTTGATGGATGATAATTAAAAATCCATATCGTTTTATTATGTTATGTTTAAAAAATTTATCAAGTTTACTACGAATAATTATTTTATTATGTTACTATTTTACAGATTTTTTATTTGATATATTAGAAGTGCGAACAATAAACTATTAGCTATTATAAATAAACTACAGTTTTAGAGTAATAAACTATAATATTGATAATAATTCTTCTTTGTTACAATGGAATAAATAAAACCAAGTATTGTGGCAAAGCGAAGAAAATCACATGCTCAGAAAATCATTTAGTGACTAGTTGAGTGAAGATATCTCAACAAAAGTTCAATGATTTTTTGTCGGTAACTTTTCTTAATAGTAAAAGTATATAAAATTTAAATGTTAATAACTTCTGAATTACGAAATTTATACGTGTAAAATTATTTTTGTTGAGTTCCTCTTCATGCTCTCTTTAAGGTAATAGAACTCTTTTTGTTATTTTCTTGGTTTTCTTGGTTTTAACAATCGGTTTTTGTTTGAACTTATATGAAACATAAAAAAATGGCTCTATTACTTTAAAAAGCGCATTAAGAGGATTCAACAAAAATAATTTACATATAAATTTATTAGTTTAGAAGTAACATTTAAATTTTATATTTTTTTAATACAGTTGAAACTTGATATAACGAATTTTTAATATTACGAATTTTGTCTTATAACGAATTATTTAATTAATTTTAATTTTTATAAATAGAACTAGCTAGTGTTTTTTTTCTAGTACCCACGGGAACTGTCTAAATATAAATTTTACATATACTAAAGCAGGAACCCGGATAAATTCTAAAAAGGGTACAATTACTAAAAACGGACATGGTTTTATTAAATTTGAATATTTTTTTGGCCCAAACTTTTCTAAATTCTGGTAAATTAAAATTTAATTTTTATTTGCCAGAATTTAAAAAAGTTTGGGCCAAAATGTCCAAAATTTACTATTAACTCAACTCGTACCTATATTAGTATTATCGGGTCCTACTAGAGCTCTTATCTTGGTCAGCTTCTTGGCGGGTCACAGGTCCGACCCATATTATATATTAATATAACCGGTACGATATAAGATTATAAAATTCTGTAAACTCTACTCTTTAAATTCTCGAGAGTAATCTACATCACCATTTACCCGGAGAATACTCTAAATAAGAATCGTAAATCAACTTTATGCTAGTGTTAACTCTAAAATCTTTATGATTTTCCATATGACCCATTAACCCGGACCATGACCCGATGGGGTGGTCAATTATCCAATAGAATCAAACATATGTCCAGCCTCATCGATTTTGTATAATGATAGATTTTGTGATTGAAAAAATATGGTACAGCTTTTATACTAAAAGATTAACAAAATTCATTTGGATATTTAATGCTTAATAATAATACTTTTGTTTTGATTTTAACATCTTTCACTCTTTAATGCATTCTTAACAGCTCTATGTTTTCAAATTTTACATATCATAGTAAAATTTTCAATTAAAAAATCATTTAAAACTGGTACATATATAATCTAATACTTTTTTTAAAAAATATATATTATAAAAATTATATATAAAGTATAATTATTTTAACATAGCTTTGTAAAAGAAGTGTTATGACTTCTTTTACCAAATTTGGTGTCAATTCATTAAGCAATTAAGACTGAATAGCTATTTAAATCTTTTAAAATATGTTTGTAGTCTCACTTCAAATATAGTTTGCTAAATACTGTTATATATTGAAATAAGCATCATGTGTCTTATCATTGTATAGTTATATATCATAATTTTATAAAAATTTATTTTAAAAAATTTGTAATATTGTAAATTTATATGGAACTAGATATATATTCAATTCTATTAGATAATCAGCCAATTCAATAATCTAAGGAAATATAAGATCTATCTGGTTATTATTTTTTGACTCAGATAATATCAGCAAAATTTATATATAGATATATATTAATTATTAGCTTCAAAGATATATATCAATTATAATCCTCCCTGCTAATTTTTATCAATCATAATATATATCAATAATAATCTGGTTAATTAGCAAATAATAGAAATTGATTAAAGATATAAATGATATATAGTCTGTTGTTTAGCAATTGTTTACAATCTTTAACAATATATATCAGTATATATCTATATAATATATATTATATAATAACTATACAATTCACTTGCAAGTCAAATTTTATACATTATGCATAATAAATCCTAAAACAAAATATCAAATTTATTAAAAGTAATTTTAATAACATATATTTTATTATTACAATAGTAATATTATATACAATAAAATACTATAACATATAGTACAGAAAATAAAAAAAAACAAAAAAAATAAGTAAAAAAA